TTAGCAGATTATAAAATCAACTTGCTACGTCATAATACATGCTTTTTAAAAGAAAATGAAGTAAAAGAAAACAAAATATAGTTTCATGAAGTTTTCCTACTTGGGTATGATAAAAAAAAAAGTCAAACCCCAAAATCCATCAGTATAATCACACTCCGGCCTTCTTGATGAGTAAAATGGAGCCATGGAGAAGGTGACTAGGCTGTGGCCCTGTTCGCCTAGAATGCAGGTCAGTACTAAGTACAAGCTCGGCCAGCAGCAGATCCTGGGCCTGCATGTTCAAGTGATCAAATAATGAAGAATGTGCAGACGCCACATGGGCAGGTACCATCCTCCCCTCCTCTGGAGGCCGGCCCCAAGCCACACCCATATGGGGAGCCAGGAAAGGTGGAGCTTCAGGGAGAAGCAGCAGGTGGTACTGCATTTTCTTGCTCCATCTAATTCAGAAAGGTCCTTCATTATAACCAACAGGGTTTCTCCTCTCTCTGTGAGGAGATAAATAATGCACTGATGGCCTCTTACACAAATTCATTTTTCTGATGGTAGCATACAATCGAAAGAGCAGAGCAGGCCACCACGCAGATGGAGACACCGCAGCCACAGCCACCTGGGCCAGGTGAAACATGAGTTGCTGCTTTTTGATGTTCAAAAAGTATGCTGGCAGATGCTATTGCTGGAAGGGAGCCCCAATTTGATGTGCTCAGTTTTAGTCTACAGCAGGACAGTTGTCTGAAGGTCAGCTGTGGGGCTCATGGGGAGAAGACAGCAAGCTCTTGGGATCACTACACCACTACTGTGGGGCAGCTGGTTTCCAATTTAAGAGATCTGCTAAAGTGGATGGGGAATTCACTTTTTCAAAGGGGTGTTGAAAACCACTTTTGGTTCCAAAAATCATTGGTCACATAGTATTTTTGCAATTTCAACATACTTTGAGCTACACTAAAAAACTGCAAATGAAGTGCTTCTATGGACAGAATTTCACACCAGTTCATTTTCCTTCCTGGTTGATGGAGCCTGGTACAAGGGTGGCAGTTCTGTAACCTGATAAGTCAGTTACTCCAACAGTCACTTTACCTTCCAGGCTAAGAAATGTGAACATGTTGTAGCTGTGTCCCACCCAGCAGAGAGGGCTGGCAAGAGTGGACGGGCAAGGCATGAGGCAGCCTAGTGCACTATGTGTCACTTTCCATCTCCTCTGCACCCTGTGCATGCTTCCTGCATAAAGGTACTCACTGCCACCTGTATTGACCTGTGTGTTTGCACCACATGGGGTACAGGGATGGAAGTGTGGTAACCTGGGTAGAACCAGAAAGTAGAACCTTGAAAGCCCTCAGCAGCACTCAGCACCTCTCCCTGCAGCAGAGCTAGAGGCCTGAGAACAGGACTGGAGCACAGAAGCAATTCAGCCACCAGGACACATAAGAAGAATGGCTCAAAATGAGCAATGAGCCTGAAACTATTTGAGGCACCAGGACAGGTTTCCAGTTCAGTGTGTGACCAGACACAGGAAGCACGGAAGTGTGCACCTCTCCCAGGACACAGGCACCCCTGTTCCACATGAGAGCAACCATCGTTAGGGCTGAGGCTTGCTGCACTGGGTATCTCCTGTGACACCATTGTCCCACAGGCCTGTGGCAGTGGAGAAGGGCATAGGGGCAACAACTCACCTGCTCCTGCAGGCAAAGCCCTCTAGCGCCATCTTCCACTGGGACACTTAGTACATAGCCTGCATGCACTTAGGTGCCTCTGAAGCCACTTTTACATGACTGTTCCTAAGTCCATATTTAAGAGTCCCAATAACAATTGAACTGGTTCACTCATGGAAGAGTACCAAGTGCCTAGACTCCTCAAGATTTTTCCACCAAGTAACAATTCTTTCTCTCATGAAACATCTGTCACTTGAAAGCAGTTAGGAGAATGTCATTTGGAATTCAGGGCATTGGTATTTTCCCATTTTTTAAAAGAAGTTCTAAGAGATGCTTAGCTTTTTAAGCCCCAATACACTACTTCTTTAACTTATAAGGAAGTACTCTAATGGTAGAGATGAAGACCACTTGTAACCATATCTTCTTAACCAGAAATGGCCTGTGAATTCAAAACTGGACTGCTGAGAAGAAATCCAGCATTACTGTGCTGACCCCTGCAACCAGCTAGGGTGCAGGAAGTACCTGTGTCTGCAGTTGGCAGGGACTTCTGGGTGGGAGTGAGGACATAGGACCTATCTAGGTGTCCCTGGGCAGCACAGCCAAAGCCTTACTCCTGTCCCTCCTCTTTCTGAACTGTGAATGCAGGGCTAGAAGCAGAGGTGGCACTGCCCAGGTGAACCTGATGCTTGTAAATCCAGTGGTTCAGATGTTACTTGCCTGAGGAAGATGCTGTCTCCATCACAGCCCCACCCTGTTCTCAGCCTCCAAGGTGTTAAGAAATTACAAATTTCTGTATTCTCATTAAGCCTTAGAACTCTGAAGTACACTGGGCACCAACTCTCTAGACTGGCTCCAAACCAGAAACCTGTCTTCACATATTGTAGAGTGATTCTGCTAGGAACTCTTTTATAGATACAACTATACGTAGCACTGAGTTACACTTTGTAATCATGAAAAAAAGAAAAAAAGGACAGTGCACTGGTAACTCAATTTCTGCTAATCACACTTAATTGATATAGTTTATAGAAAGCACAGGTTACCCAAAACCCTGTTACTTTTCTGGTTCTGAGTTCTGTGACATTCCTCATAGTAAGAAAAGCCATCGGTGAAACACACCAACCCAGGACGGTGAGGGCCTAGGTCTGAAGCTCATCTTAGAACAAAGCATTTGAGGTAGCCTGGAGCTTCAGCAGAGGGGCTGGCAGAGCACAGCTGGGAAGACCAAATCCTGCCACCACTACAAAGAGTGTACATGCTTCCAAGGAGTTTAAAAAGCAATAGGAAAAGGATGAGGCGCTAGTTACATGAAATTCAAGTTCTGGGGTCCATGAAAGGCTTTACTGACACATAGCCATATTTGTTTACAAACTGTCTACAGCAGTTGTCTTTTAATCATAATTTTTTTTTGGGGGGGTGGGTACCAGGAATCAAACTCAGGATCTTGCACTTGCCAGGCAAGTGCTTGTGCCACTGAGCTATATCCCTGGCCCTCACAGCAGTTCTGGAGTCACAACAGCAAAGTTGAGTGACTGCAGAAGCCATCTTGCCTGAAATAGTAACTATTTGGTCCTTTACAGGAAAAGTGTGCTAACTATGATTGCTGGCACATGCGGAATTCACACAGCTGTACATACTGTCATCTCTCCAAGGAAAACACCCAGAGGTCATGGCTGTGTGGCCACCTCTCTTGGGTCTTTAGATCCCAGCTCAATGTCATTTTCTCTGCATGGCCTTTCCTGAATCCTGTGTCTAGAAACTGAACCCAACTTCACATATTGCATCCCATCCCAGCTCTTGGATGAAGGTGTCTTTTTCATCCAAAATGAGCTTCTAAAAGGTGAATCCCAGAGCCCAGAGAATGTGTGGCCCATACTGCATAGTGAGGACCAGGCAGGTCATGTTAGTGAGCCATGCTACATTCAGACTACCTCTGGCCACCAGGAGCTAACAGAAGAGGCTGTCCTATCTTTGGACAACATAACAGACTGTGAGATATAAAACAGCAACCAGATACAGCCCACTGTCCTTCTCAAAGGTTTAAGCGGTTATACATAATAAGTAAGTCATGCTGTAAGTTAAGAACAGGATGTATTTCATGCCAAAAGGAAGAAGGAAAACAGGGCCTAGCACCTCACGGCTTCCGGTCATCGAAGGACAGGTGCCCAGTGTCTGCTCTGACCCTCTTGCCCTGGTCCATGCGGCAGGCACATGGCATTCCACTGCCATTAAAACAGGCCAATGCCTATAAATAGGCAGGACTTTTAAATACTCATTAAAAATAACAGTCTGGCATTTGGAAACGCCTATAAACAAAAATCTAAGCACTGAAATAAACAGAAATAACTACACATTTGATCTATGCTCAGGTGAGTGAAAGGCTATGTGCCTCTTCTTTGCAATTTTCCAATTACTCTTGGATTTGTAGAGCTTTAAACTGCTGAACAATGTCCATCTTATCTTATAGTTAATAAGGACAGGCCATTCTCAATTTACTCCATTCCAATGATTGTGAAATTCATTATAGTGCATTTAACCCAACATATTCACAAAATAGTTTCAAAAAATGTTGAAATGAACAGAAAGTATTGAGATGCTTTGATTTTTTTTTACCTCAAGTGCTTAATATGTCTGCCATATTGGATTACATTTTTTAAATGTTCAGTTATTTTCAACTGACTACAAACCAAACTTACTTGCATTTTCTGCACTCTAGTTTTAAATGAGAGCTTTGTTCTTTGACCTCTTGCTCCTCCTGTGTTTTACTTTAAGATGGCTAAATACATTAAAGATTTACTATTCTATGTTTTGAAAACCTGGAATTCATCTTAGGATTCATATTGCATTTTTCCCTATAAGCTAAAAGATATTAAGGACCACATCATATTGCTTTCCCACAAGCATTCGATTTTCTTCTTTAAACCATAGCTGCTAGATTCAGTTCTCATTTCCTTTACACATGGCTCCTTTCCTGTCCTAGCTGAATGCAACCAAGACACTGATACAGCTGAGCCAAGTTTTCCCAACACGCAACAGGATGGCGCCACCATCAGTGAGCAAGACGACCCGCACAGGCTAATAACCTCCAACACTCCACCCTGCCTGCTCACTCTTCAGAAGACTTCCATCCATCCTTATGATTTAAGAAGAGGGGGAAACTTGTGATCTCAAAATACTGTGGATATCAGCATAAGCATGCACAGAGCTGCAACAAGTGCAGCCTGAAAAGCAATGTGCCCTCTGCTTAAACCTGGTTCTTTACTCAAAAACGAGGGATTCCACTAATGCAAATGACAGTTTCAACAGTGTGGGAGTGTGGTGCGGGCTCTACCCTCACCACTAGCAGGCTCTGATCACCTCCGCGTCCTGTTCCTGGAGATGGTATGTTCTCTGGAGGGACTGCAGCGTTGGGCGGGTCAGGGTCTTCTCCTGCAACAGACGCTCCAGAAGCAAGACCAGCTGGTCTGGAAGAAGCTGAGGGCAAAACAAAACAGCCGGTGAAAACACCATTCAGCTGACAAGAAATTAGGCCCAAATGTTTCCTCCGAAGACAGCAGCGAAGCATGAGTAACCTGGGTGCTGCTGGCATGTGTCTGAAACAGGAGGACCAGAGTGCTGACTTCTGGGAAACCTCTCTCTCCACAGTCACTGCGTTCTGGGGCCTGGTGACAGCCTTGTTGCTTTCGCTTTTCATGTCACGTCTCTACTTCAGAAAGATCAAAATGGTTCTTATCTTATGAAAAATTATTGTGCTTTATTAGATCTTTGCCTTTATGGTTACACATGTGCTAAAAAATATTATTTAGCCTAGATAAAGACTCAAGAAGACCTTCAATTGTAAGCAAACATATGGAAGCTCAACAGAAAGGTTTTAGATTTCATTTCTGAACAGAAAAATAAAGAGCACGCAATGAAATAATTACTGTGCTTCACAATGCCTTCATTATAAAAATGCTATGCTTGGGCTGGGGAGATGGCTCAGAGGAACAAGCGCTTCCCTGGCAAGCGCAAGGGCCTGAGTTCTATCCCCGGTTCCGTAAAACAAGAACAACAACAAAAATGCTATGCTTAGTGTATTTATGTTTATAATACACTACAATTTTTTAAAAGGATACATACACAGTCATACATATAACAACACACAACACATAAACACACACACACAGTCATCCATATCCTCATGTTTTTGTAAAAGATGGGTCAAAAATGGTTATTACCAGTTAAGGGCAAAGAGAAGAAGTCCTAAAGTAGTACAAAACAAAATAACACATTTGTGACGCCTAGGAACTGAGTCAGACTTCACATACCTGTTCACTAGTGTGCCCCAGTACCAGGGGCAACACTGCCCAAGGGCACAGAGAGGTCAGCCCTACAGAGCGCTGAGATGCCAGATGCAGCATACATCAGAGGGACAGTGTTTACTTAAAACGAAGGTTTATCTTCCCTTCAGCCTTGCTTATTCCCAGATAACCCTTGTTAATAAAGCCAAATGCCACTTCTTGGTACTCAAAAGAAATTCTAGAAATTACCGGCTTTTCTTTCTCTGTCCCTCTCTACATTTCTGTGCCCAAGTGCACACAATGCCTGCCTCCTCCCCTCCAAAGTGAGCACGCAGGGAAACCGCTGGGCTGCATGCACCACACTCTACACCCAATTTCACAAAGAAAGCACTGCTCTTACGTTCTCAGCCCTACCTCCCCAAAGGCAGGCAGAGGGCTCAGATGTACAGTGGCTGGTTCTTGCGTATGTTTCTCTGCTGTGGAGAGGCTCTAGGGGTGGCAGAATGGCAAGGTGTCTTGAGCACAATTACAGTATAGTGACCATTGACCCAAGGTCCTCTACAGGACTGGAGAACGACTGCAATTCCCTTTCTTGTGAAGTCACAAGCCTGTGAGATACTTTAGAAATACCAAGTATACCAAGTATTAGTAGTTACACAACTACTAATAACAGCACCGTTCTAGCATTCTCTATCATTTAAACACGAGGCTATTTATATAGTAGCATGTCTGCTGTTTTATAGAAAATGCCAAACCCAGGCCCCAGCGTCCGCTGAACCACAAGGTCTACCCCAGGCATATGTCAGGGGACACATGTAGGACACAGCCTGGCAGTGCTCTGGGCCAGAACCTGGCTGAGACGCTGTATTCTACCTCTCTTGTAGCCCACTCCTGACCTGGCTCCAACTCTGCTAGGCCCCAGGTCTAGTACAGTCCCATGGCCCAGTGGCTCCTCACTGACCCCCTGAAACCTTACAGTGGCTCACAAATGGTTCAACCTTTCAGCTTTTCTCTGCTAGAAGCTGAATCTACAGACCATAGCCCTATATGCACCCCTAATGTTCTAAAGCCACATCCCAAAATTTTTTCAACCTGTCCCACCACTTCTCTTGTGCCCACTGTCGCCAGAATGCCTGGGACTCTTGGTAGAGTGGACCAACTCTCCCTCCCTGTCCCTGTCTGGGGCTCAGGGGAGGTGTAGAGGACAGATACTATAAGGCAACAGGCTCCAGACTGGATTCAAGTGGCCCTGCCTGCCCTGACCCCCAAAGGCACCATCAACTCTGCAAGCAGCGTCAGTGCAGCCACTAGCAAGAGGGCAACAGTTTGCAGACTAGGGAAGGCAGGCTCCTGGGATGGGGCCAGCCAGGCTGGACTGGGGGCCATGTATACTAACTACAGCAGGAACCAAGCCCTGCCAATCTGCAGAATTACAGGGAAGGAAAGAGTAGAAAGAAAAGTGTCTCCCAATTGTGCCTTTGTGCTTACAAAGAGGCCTATTGTTAGAACTCGGTTTGGGACTTGGTTAAGATTGAAGAGACCCACAGAGGAAAGGAAGCCTTCGGTCCTCAACTTGTCCCAAATGGGATCAATCCATAAAAGCAACTCATTTAAAAATCAAAGCACTACTAATATATGGACCCACAAAAATCCCTGGGCTCATCCTGTGTATCTCAGTTTCTTTCCAAGCAGAAAGCACAGACATCTGTACACAGAAACAGAGCCGAAAGCACTGCTGAAATCTTTTGTTCTCTCCAAATTTTACACAATGGAAATATTTAAAGCTAAGCCCCCTGACTATGATGGACAGCTGAGAGGCATGGAGGGAGGACGCACATCATCAAACACTTTGAGTTCTTTATTCTTTATTCTAAGTTTAACTGGCTCTCACCGGCGGGAGGCAGAGAGCAAGGGTGCCTGCTCCAGGTACCAGCCCCTTCTGCGGTGTGGCCCAAGGCACCCCCAGCAAGAGCCAGCTTGCTCGCAGGCGGGCAGGACGCAACCAGCACCGCACAGCCACAATGCAAACATCCCTCGTGATGCCAGATTTAGGCCCGGCAGACTTCTCAGAGAGAACTTGCAGAAATACTCTCAGTAAACACCTGGCTCTCAACTGTACCTCTCCAACTTTGGGGGGGAATGGTGTTTCTAAACAATGAAAAAAGCTCACATGATCGGTGATCTAACACTCTTTGAAGCCACAGACAGTAAAACTAACTCTGTATCATTTGTCCACAAGTAAACATTATATCACTTAAAAAAATATGAGATCACAGATGTTGAAAAGAGGATTTTAATACTTGCTTCAGTGCAAATATGTAGTTAGGTAGCTTCACTTTAATATAGATTTTTCTTTGTAAAATAAACCTTTACTCCATGTAAAGCTAGCTACAATGGAAAAAGAGTATGTAATAAGCCAAAATGTTTGCAAAGCAACAGAAAGATATCAAATATTAGCAAACATGCCCAGAGGCTGTACCCAGGCATGAGACCCCTCCTGGCAGCTGGCACCGGGAAAAGAAGTAACGTTACGTGAATCATTCTACTGCTACCCACGGAGAAATCAAATTTCACATGGCTCCTGGGCCAACCGGGTTTTCATACAGCAGGGTTCCAAGAGACAGACGTGGCTTTAGTCGTACTATGGCACAGTCATGAAAAATGTTCCCAGCATTATTCTCCTACGAAAGCACCTCAAAACATAAAGGAAAGAACCTGTTTGTATTTCTGGGGACCTAATAGTGCTAGTACCCACATCATAGCCACAGAGATAAAAAGTCCTACAGACAGGAAATTCATTTGTTATTATCTCCATACGGAGATCAGCTTAGTATTTGTAAAATGCATCTGCCTCACAAACTTAGAATAAGACTACCGGGTGCCAAAGTCATGTGGGTACTTGAAAGTAAATTGCACAGGACAGTAAAACTTACATGAATAAAAGAAACAAAATGTTAAATAAAGCAGGTCAGCCAAGTACAAATGTTGTTTGTTAAGGGTTTCAGAAGTCGGTATTCTTGCCATAAACATAGAAGATTTCACGGTTAATTACAGAAAGGTACACAAACAAGAAAGTCTACTTTTATTTTCTGCAGTCAGCTGAAGAACTGAAGTGAGCTGTATTTTAAAAAGTGGTTTTCAAGTTTCTACTGACTCTTGGAAAGAAAATATGAATTTTTCCAAACCTACCTTTCTAACCTACCGGCAACACAAAGAAAACAAATCCAGATCCTTCCAGAAGCCTCTCGCTGCTGCGACAGGGGCATCACTCACTCTGTACTCCCTGAAGACCACCCACATGACTCAGGACCACCGCCATCTCCTCCTTTAACAAGAGGCAAAAGGGCCAGCTCACCTCACAGGTCACAAGGGCAGCGGACGCACCTCACCAGGCTTCAACAGGCAGGACCTGCCACAATGGCCATCGCATACACACACTTAAGCCTGTGGCCCGTACCCTTCCACGGGCTGAGGAGGGCAACCTCTTCGCCACCCAGCTGGTGCACTGCAGGAAGTCACTGAGCAGCTCCTGGACGGGAATGAGCCTCGGACTAATGTAGCCACCGATTGACAGTGGCATGAGTTCTATTATTACCCCATTATCACTCTGGGATCTGTGCCTAAATGAAGCATGCTTCCTCCCTGATGCCATTTCCTTTTATCCTGGCTGGAGACTAAAAGCAGATCAATGGGGGCAATACATATGATGTCACTTCAATTTATAGCGATAGCCTCGCCCTCTTTTGAGTCTGTCTGAAACACACAGAAAGATCAATTCTTCCCAAAAATGGTTAAAAAATGCTTAGGGAGCATTCATCTTCCAGAAAAGCATTCTCTGCTATATTTGTCTATGTTACTACGGCAGGAACTGTTTACACAGAACAAAAACAGAAGAAATGGGGGAGGGAGGAAAAATCTCAAATTCTCCTGTATGCTGGAGACGAGCTGGCCAAAATCCAACACAGGCAGGGCCCAGACCGGAGTGAAAGCAGCTGACCTTTGAAAGTCACATGCAGAGACCTTTCCTATAGGGACAAAGCAGAGATTTCCTTTGCCCTTGGATTAAAAAGGTGATCACAAAGATATAAAATGTCTCTTGTCTTTCTAAGGTTCTCCTAAATCTAATTACTTCCTTGACACTCCTCCCAGAAAGCTCATGACCACCCTCCCTGTCCACAGGTGGGTGGGTGTGTG